AAATCTATTAAGTCTATTAAGTAAGGTAGAACCGTAGATTCTAAGAGTTTTAATTAAAAAATTAATATATTTATATATATATATATAAATATAGATTTCTATTCAGATTTAGATTTTACATATATACAATCTAATATGGGATTCATTTGAATTCTGACTGAACCTTTTACGCCTAAATTCACTATTCCATTCATAGAGAAAGAAAAAGTATAGATAAAGAAAAAGTATAGACTACGATATACTGACTGAACTATGACTATTCATGATTCCATCATTGAATCAATTACACAAACTAAAGGAATGTTATGGTAAAACTTCGTTTAAAACGATGTGGTAGAAAGCAACGTGCGACTTGAATTGAAGGACATGATCTGCTGTGGATTTTTTGATCCGCCACTTTTTATATAGGAATAGAGGTGCTCTTGGCTCGACATTTTGTGTTCTATTTTATTAGAGTCTTGCACTTTTTTTGAATATAAAAAAGATTACAGGATGGAGCTCGAGGAAAATAGAAAGTTTTTATTCCTTTCGCAGGAGTAAGGATCTAGGGCTAGTGCGAATCAATAAGTTGGAACAACTTCGTAAGTCTTTTTATTTTTATATTGAAAAAAGGTCCTTTCAAGTAATTTTACAATGGAAAAGGAAATTTTCTTAAAATTGTAAAATTTTTTGAATCGAAAGTCTATCATGCGTGAATCAAGCGTTTGTATGAGTCTTTGATAGAAAGAAAAGAAATCATAAACAAAATAAGGGGCTTGTTGCTGCCCTTTTTTAATAAAACGATTAAAGATCACCGAAGTCATGTTTAAACCCAAAGATTCAAAGTAAGGATAAAGAATCCTGAAACAAGGAAATCCCGTTTTCAATTGTTTGAACAACTAAGATCAGAATGAAGAATCACAATAGATTCTCAAAAATTAGACAAACAAAAAAACGGGTTAGAGACTACTCAATAAAAAGAGTACTTAAGGATTCTCTGTTGAGATATTTGAGAGTTATTGAACTTGAGTTACGAGAGTACGAATTTTACGAATGCTTTTTATGAAAAAAAATATTTCGGGTTTCAATACTGGTTAATTTTTTTAATGTTTTTATTAATCTATTTAATATTTGAATTTTATACAGAGAGTTAACTTCTACTCATTGAATTTTTGAATTTTTTTTCTCGAGCCGTACGAGGCCAAAGCCTCTTATACGTTTCTAGGGGGGGGGGGTATTATTCATATACATCTATCCCAATGAGCCGTTTATCGAATCGTTGCAATTGATGTTCGATCCCGAAGAGAAGGAAGAGATCTTCGGAAAGTGGGTTTTTATGATCCGATAACAAATCAAACTTATTTAAATTTTCCTGCTATTCTCGATTTCCTTAAAAAAAGCGCTCAACCAACAAGACACTACAAGAAAGATCGGGTTTTACGTCGACAGATATCGACGTAAAATCGACGTAAAAGAGCATTTACGTCGAATTAACGACAAAAAAAAAATCGTCGTAAAACGATCGTCGTAAAACAGAAATCGTCGTAAAATCGTCGTAAAATTACCAACCCGGAAAAATCGTCGTAATATCGTCGGAAACTATTCGTCGTAAACGCGACGTAAATTTTTCAACGAAAGTACAACGAAATAAGTCCATCATAAGAACGACGTAAAATCGATGTAAAATTACATCGATTTAACAACGATTAGGAGACGAACAATTTCAATTAAGGGAAACTAATTTTTTAATTGTCGATGTTAATTCGTCGTAAAGTTTCGACGTAAATCCGACGTAAACATATTCGACGTAAATTCGTCGTTAAATATTCGACGTTAGATCGACGTAAATTTACGACGAATTTACGTCGATTTATAAATTAATTATTTAATTCGATTTTAATTTAATTAATGAATTTTTAAAATAATCAAAAAAATTAAAAATAGAAAAAAAACAATTTAAATTGAAATTTAAATTCGAAAATAATTTATAAATAAAATAAAAAATTTTATACAAATTGTTTTTTACAAAAAAACCTAATCTACAATGTGATTTCGTAATCGTCGAGGTTGAGATCGACGTCACGAGGAGGCTCTCCGTCTTGGCCGTCCGTCGCTGTTGGACCGTCGTTTCCCGTCTGCACTACCAGAGCCGAAGACTGACCCTGCGTCTGCTGGTCCGATGGTCCAGTACCGGAAGTACCACCGGTCTCAAAGACCCTTCGTGCTCGCTGTTGCCTCGCTCGGATTGCGGTGGCCAACTGCGGAACCGCTTCCGCAATGATGTCGAAGAGATCGTGTATCTCGGTGAGCTCATGCTTCTGGGCCACTTGCTCATGCCTGAGAGTGGTGATCTCAGCATTGGCCGTAGCAAGCTCCTGGCGAAGATGACTCGGATCCTCCTGCATGCGAAATCCGGAAGCCGAGGCGGCAGGACAGTCTCTAATAGAGCCCATCCCTAAGGTTCGGCCCTTCTTCTTCGGAGCAACCTACAAATGGAAAATAAAAACGTTAATTATTTATTAAGTAATAAATATAATAAATTTTTAAAAAATTGAAATAGATCATACCTCTTCGAAAATCTGGTCTTGCTCAGCGACGGTCAACGGTACTTGGATAGTACCGTCAGGTGTGGTCTGGGTCTCCCGCTCGGCGATCCGCTGCATAGCGGCATTGTAGATCTCCTCTGACCGAGCGTCGATAAAGCTCCCGTCCCTCTTCCGGTGAGTGGTCTTGAAGAGCTTCGTCATTGGAGGTAGTTCTCCTCCGTTCTCCTCGGCCTACCAATTAATAAACATTAGTCAAAAATATTTAATAAATTATAGCAATAATTAAAAATGAAATAATAATGAAATAATTTATATTTAATTACTTACCATCATGAGACGTCTTCTAGCAAAAGATATTTGGCCAAAAGTGTGTGGGGTCACCAACTTCTGACCGTTAGGATCGACCCGGTTTCGGACGGCCGAACACTTAACTGCAGTGGTTTGGGCATGCGGGTCCAGCCAATACGCCTTCAACCCGTTCCAACAGAAAGTGGACATGGAGCTCGGCTTTGCGTCGTCTCCATCGGTCTCCCACTTCCGCTTCCAATCGGAAACGGTGTTGACTAGGCGTTTCTGCGCCTTCAGCCGGAAAGCTTCGCGGACCGTCTCGTTGATCCCGATGTCCCAGTTCCACCGTTGCTGCAAAAGAAAACAAAAAATTATATAAACAATATAAAAGTAAGATTAATTAAATTTAAAACAATTTAAAATGATAT